TCCTAGTCCCATTTATTACCATAGTCTAATTGTACTACATTGAGTACCTAACGCGATTAATTAATTTTGCCAATCCTATTTTGGGTGTGATTTATACAAGTTCATTTAGTTGTGTTTCTATATTTTACCGATTTTATAAATGTTTTTGTATAATCATTGCACCTTTGAGTGGTTATTTAGTGTCTGCACCAACCAGGGGTGGTTTTGAGGAGCTAACCTGATGGTACTTCCAGTATTGACACTGGATTATCACTCAAATCATTTGTGTGTATGATTATAAATATGTTAATTTTAAGTGCTAACCTCTAGAAGAGGTAGGATTACAGCCTAGTGACTGTAAAATTTTACTCTAGGCTATTACTATCAGTGTTTGCTCACGATTTATGGGCCAATACTCCAGTTATTTTCACTACGAATTTTGGGGCCAAAAAATAAGAATTCAGCAGCCAGTACAACACACGAAATGTCTAGTAACAGTATATTGTGCCAGTTATGTTGTACATATGTGAATCACAAAGGACATGTGACTAGACAACTGAACAAGTGTAATCAAATGATCCAGTCAAATGTGACACCTAAAGTACTTGAAAAACCCACATAGAGGTGACTAAACAACAAATACAAAAAAATACCAAGGTTGGAAATAATTATATTCAAAGCCTCATTTAACAAAATGCTGAACTAGACAAATTAGACACCTTCCATGCCGAAACGGAACAATATGAAGAGGATGTCCAAGATCACCTGGATAAATTAATACAGTTCTTAGAACATTTAAATATAAACTGTCTCTCAAAATGCTCTACCAAAAACGAGGAGCTAATACATCTGAACCCATCACTGAAGTTCGTCTACCTGCCATTGATTTAACTCAATTTCATAGCAGAGAAGAAGAAAACTTAGAATGTTACTGGAACACGTTCGTTAGTGAACTCTAAAAGTTTTATTAACAAAACAAAGAAATTCCTTTATTTGCGAAGTACCCTTAAGGGTTGAAACAAAGACAAGTTATTGATCATCTGATTTCAAGTGATGACGACTACGATACTGCCATACAATTGTTAAAGATCAACTGTAGTAACCAAGAGATACCTTTAGCTAACCTCTACTATAAACTTAGCAATGCCAACACCAGAAACAACAGCTGAAGTTATTCAAGAATTTAGACTCCAAGTGGAGTCTCTAGTCAAAGTTCTTGCTGCCAAGGCAGATGTACCTGGAGCAGAATGGGTGTTAAGATTAAAGATTCAGAGTAAATTCCCCGAAGAAATTTTATCCTCCATCTGTTCTCATTATCGGCCAGACATCCTCACATCTGGATGAAATATTTAATGGATTAAGGATGACAGTGAACTGCATGAGAGCCCATGAGACAATGGCACCAGCAAACTGTTCTTCAACTGACAAGTCTAAACCGACGAAGTCCATTCAGGACCCAAGTAATAATAATCAAACAAAGAGTACAATAAGTACTCCATCTAAATTTAAACAATCTATTTCCTCACCAAAGTGGAACCAAGGCAGAGTGGGCATATATGCAGTGGGACCCCTCCAAGCCTATAGTCAATATGTCATCCAAGACGATGACTCCAAAGGGTGCTGTGAGCTATGGAACATGTTTGTTCTGCCAAGAGAAACATTAAATGTACCACTGCACCAAATTTCCTAATCGAGACACCCTTGTTGAGCGACTCAAAGAGTTGCAAAATTGCCCGAGGTGCCTCAGGAAACACAACCTCCTAGACTGTGAGGCCCAATTACCCATCTGTAATAAGTGTAACAAGGGTCAGCATCATGCAGCATTGTGCGGAGACACCAAAACAAAGTCTCCAAATCCCAAGGTGAAAATTGATATTCCCACCACAGTACAGTACTGCAAGGTGCCACAGAAAATCAGTGTCCTACCGACAAAGACCAAGAATACTTCGACTTTGCCAGGGTCAACTTACCCAAGTATGTGTATGCCAGGTATAGCTCAACTCACCATCCAAGAGAAGAGGGCCAGGGTCCATCCCTGTAGGTTGTTTGACCAAGAGTCCCAAACAACATTTGTCACTAGAAATGTGGCAGATGATCTACAATTAAAGCCTGTAAAATGGGTGACCTTAAATATTTCGGGGTTCCTAGCTGATACAGGACCTAACGTCTACCAGGTGGTACTGCCATCGGTACGATTAGGCAACTACGTCTGTCAGGTACCAGCCATTGTGATGGACACAATTCCAATAGACCTACATGTACAAGCTCTGGGAGCTACTGCAAAATTCCTGAGAAATAGAGGAATAAAATTGTCAGATAAAATTAAGTCTGATCACCTCAGCGACTTCGTAATTTTTGTAGGTGCGGACTACTACCACCAATTCATCAGTAGCCCTACTAAATATCAGCGCATAAACATGTTTCAGCAGGAGGCAAATTACTCACAGGAGGCAGTATATAGCCTGAGGAGACAAATGTCTGCAGACAAACAGTACCAATAGAACACACCCTGACCTCATCCATCCATCAAGGGTCAGCCCTCGTCATGGCCATTGTGGATTTGTTCAATACCAATAGAAATTTAAATTTATCAGTTGATTATACAACTCCAGTAGCATTATACTATTGAGATTACAGCTGACTATAACAGAGGTTGATCTTAATATCATCATTTAAACCTGAAGATGAGTTCATGAGGCCTCAGTGGCAAATCAGTGAACAGTAGCCTAAACAGCTACAAGTCACCTGCGACTAATGTTACTGAACTCACTGCAGTCTCAGAACCATAATTGACTCTATTGATTGAATATTCAATCCTCTGAATCTAATAACCATATTAAATTAAATTTGTCAAAAAAATAAACTCCAGCAAATAAGCACAAGGGAGCATGACTGACTATATAAATCCGACATCTGATTTTTTATATATTTATTATTTAATCAACATGTACTCTATTGGCCTCAGTGAGGCACAGGAGTGGTGTGAGGTGTCACAGTTATCGCAGTGGGTCGTGAGGGTTGTGATGGTGTGGGTGTGTGTGAGGGGTCACAGTTATCACTGCTGAGTGTGAGGGATGTGAGGCGCGGGTGTGAGGGTGACAGTTATCACTGCTGAGTGTGAGGGTTGTGAGGCACGGGTATGTGTGAGGGTCACAATTATCACTGCTGAGTGTAAAGGTTGTGAAGCACGGGTGTGTGAGGGGTCACAGTTTTCACTGCTGAGTGTGAGGGCTGTGAGGCGCGGGTGTGAGGGGACACAGGTGATGGTGTTATCAAGCGTCAGCTGGTGAGGTCCCGTTAGTATCTAATGGGGTCCATCAACCATCCACCTCACTCCTTCTCTTGTAACACACCTAGCCTATCCTAGACGAGACTAGCCCAGCCTAGTCTAGACTCACCTAGTCTAGACTAGCCCGTCTAGCCTAGTCGCCTAGCCTAGACTAGTCCAGCCTACCCTAGTCACCTAGCCAAGTCTATCCCAACCTAATCTAGTCTCATCTAGCCTAGGCTACCCCAGCCTAGCCTACACTTACCTATCCTAGACTAGCCTAGCCTAGCATATAGTCATCTAGACTAGATTAGCCCAGCCTAGCCTAGTCATCTAGCTTGGACTAGCTCAGCCTAGCCTACATCTAGCCTAGACTAGCCCATCCCAGCCTAGACTAGCCCATCCCAGCCTAGTCACCTAGCCTAGCCTACATCTAGTCTATACTAGCCCAGCCTAGCCTAGAGTCATCTAAATTAGACTAGCCTAGCCTAGAGTCATCTAAATTAGACTAGCCCAGCCTAGTCTATTCACATAGCCTATACTAGCCCAGCCTAGTCTATTCACCTAGCCTAGACTAGCCCAGCCTTGCCTAGAGTCATCTAAATTAGACTAGCCCAGCCTAGTCTATTCACCTAGCCTAGACTAGCCCATCCTAGCCTTGAGTCACCTAGCCTAGACTAACCCAGCCTAGCCTTTAATCATCTAGCTTAGACTAGCCCAGCCTAGTTTAGCCATCTTGCCTAGACTAGCCCAGACTAGATCAAGCTGTGCTCTAATGACAACACAAACATAACACAGGTTTGTGAGTATAGGTGAGTACAGGTGGAAACTGAGTACCCAAATGAGCCACAGGGACGTTAGAAAGAACTTTGTCAGTGTCAAGAGTAGTAAACAGATGGAATGTATTAGGCAGTGATGTGGTGGAGGCTGATTCCATACACAGTTTATAATGAAGATATGATAGAGCCCAGTAGGCTCAGGTATCTGTACACCAGTTGATTGACAGTTGACTTCTACCTGAATATACCCGATTGTCATTATATCTCTAGTGGCCTCGACGAGGACAGGAAGCCGGCTGTTTTTCAAAAGAACCCCTCTTCCCTATTTGTACTAATCATGTAATATTTGTCCAAAATCGGAGGCCAGACCCTAGTGCTAGCCTCACCCAAATATGCAGTGGGCAATGGTCTGGGGTGCGGGAAGGACAGAGCCTAGTCAAGAAAGGCCTAAGTTAAATTCTTTAAGGTATATTAACCATTATCAACACCAGTGTGTATGACAGCTCGCTCGCTCACAACACCAGTGAGCGAGCAGTGGAGGGCAGCCCTAAGTGTATATATAAGCGAGCAGTGGAGGGCAGCCCTAAGTGTATACATGAGCGAGCAGTGGAGGGCAGCCCTAAGTGTATATATGAGCGAGCAGTGGAGGGCATCCTAAGTGTATATATGAGTGAGGAGTGGAGGGCATCCTAAGTGTATACATGAGCGAGCAGTGGAGGGCAGCCCTAAGTGTATATATGAGCGAGCAGTGGAGGGCTTCCTAAGTGTATATATGAGTGAGGAGTGGAGGGCATCCTAAGTGTATACATGAGCGAGCAGTGGAGGGCAGCCCTAAGTGTATATATGAGCGAGCAGTGGAGGGCATCCTAAGTGTATATATAAGCGAGCAGTTGAGGGCAGCCCTAAGTGTATATATGAGCGAGCAGTGGAGGGCAGCACGATGTGAGCGAGCAGGAAGTCGGACCAAGCCTTACCCATCGTGTGTGCTGTCAGCGCCACCAGCAGCACCAGCACCGTCAGCGTCGTCAGCTTCACCAACATGCTGCAGGCTACCTCTGACCAGATAGTCTTATCTTAGCTTATTTATATGCTCCCAGCCCTCTCTCTATCTCTGTTCCCAGGCTCTCGTTACCTTCCCTTCCACTCGTTACCTTCCCATGCTCTCACTACCTTCCCTTCCACTCGTTACCTTCCCATGCTCTCGCTACCTTCCCTTCCACTCGTTACCTTCCCATGCTCTCGTTTCCTTCCCTTCCACTCGTTACCTTCCCATGCTCTCATTACCTTGGACGGAACAGATATGATCACAAAGACATCAGATTTACCATAGGATGGAACAGATGTGATCACATGGATATCAGATGTACCTTAGGGTGGAACAGATGTGATCACAAGGATATCAGATGAACCATAGGATGGAACAGATGTGCTCACAAGGACAGCGTATGTACCATAGGATGGAACAGACGTGATCACAAGGATATCAGATGTTCCATAGGATGGAACAGATGTGATAGGTTTTTATTTGATGGGCCTCGACTCAACCTTGTGTCATATAGCCATTTTGTTCCCCCTAGTGCACCTTATCCCCAAGAGCAGTTTTCTTAATGTGTTTTTAATTGCCATGGATACTGTCATGCATCCCTACTTGATTTTTAATGGTTTTCTAATGCGCGCTGCTTTTTAATTGATGGGCCTCGACTCAATCTTGTGTCATGTGGCCATTTTGTTCCCCCTAGTGCACCTTATCCCCAAGAACAGTTTTCTTAATGTGTTTTTAATTGCCATGGATACTGTCACGCATCCTTAATTGATTTTTAATGTATTTCTAATGCACGCTGCTCCGTCTCTGTCTTGGATCTCCCTTGTATTTTTAATGCCGCAGAGATCAATTTATCCTTCAGGGACTTATTTCGCTTCCAGGCTAGCATGGGTGGGCTCTTAGGAAACTTCCTCCATGAAGGGTGGTCTCCAAACTTCTGTTCCAGCCAGGTCCAGAGTCGTTTCATAACCTGCTTCATGGGTTTCTCGAAGCCATCAAAGTAGGTTGTCACCAAGATGTCCCTGTCTTGGTGTCTCTTTCCAGTGTGTTGGAGTAGTTCCTCCCGTATCTTCTGTTCCAGCTTCCTCGCTGCTTTGTCGAGCACTTCCTCAGGATAATCCCTGTTCCTGAAAAATGTCCACAGGTCCTCAAGTTGTTCCCCCAGGGAGTGGGGGCATGTGTTGATTCTCTTCAGTCTCAAACCCAAGGAGTAGGGGAGCGAATTCTTAAGTGGTTGTGGATGGCTGGAGTGGTACTGCAAGTATGTATGGAGATTTGTCGGTTTGTAGAAAGCCTTCGTCTCCAATTGTCGTGTTGCTGGGTTTATGTAGACGGTCGTGTCCAGAAAGTTTAGCTCTGTTTCACTCCTGTCTATCGTAAAACTCAGGTTCTGGTGTACTGAATTTGCCTATGAATAGAACACGTCCAGGTTCCCCATTGGTCCCAGCATTATGCCGAATATGTCGTCGATATATCTGTAATATATCCTTGGTCCCGTTGGTAAGTCTTCTCTCCTAAATTCGAAAACCTCGTGAACAAAGATCTCCGCGATGGCTACGCTACTCGAGGTTCCTATCGCTGTTCCTTTGATTTGTCTGTAGGTCTTACCTTCAAAGGTCAGGATCGTATCCCGCATCACATGTAGAATGGCTTCTATGAGGAGGTTCTTCGATGGAGGGGTGTAGATTCCTGCTTCCTTCAGGTCCCTGCGGATCCGGTGTACGTTCCTTTCGAAGTAGTCTGCAACCACCGTTGCTGCTTCTCTCTGGGGAATACTTGGATACAGGGATATTATATCTAGGGAGAAAAGAGTTGCACCATCCGGGACAGGGCCCCATTTCTTATTCACTTCGTCTATTTTAACTAAGAAATCTGTTGTATCTACTAACCGTTCGTCCAGGAGTCTGAGTAGAGGGTTCAGTAGTGCTGTACAGATTCGGCGGGTCGGGGCACTGCAGCCGCTGAGGACTGGGCGGCCAGGACATGTGCCTGTAATTGGATCTATGCCTTTATGAATTTTCGAGAGGAGGTAGATGTTTGGCAACTTCGAGCGGAAGGCTAAAAAGAAATCCCTGGTTGCTGGTTTCAGGATGCCTCCCCTGCCATTATTCTTGGAAAGAGAAAGTACCAGAGACTTACTCCTAGTCTGGGCGTTCCTCAGGGCTGTCTCTCCGTTTGTCACCTGTTGGTATGTCGTCCCGTCCATCAGGTGTCTATCCATTTCCCTGCAGTAATTTTCTTTTTTCAAGATTACCACTGCCCCTCCTTTGTCCGCTGGTTTAATGACAATGTCCCTTCTTGCTTCCAATCATCGCAGGGCTGAACGGAGTTCCGGTTGGAGGTTATACAGCCGGCGTTCGTCAACCTGTGCTATAAGAGAGGAAGTCAAGCGGTTCATACAGTCACTTAGGCCATTGAGTTTGAAGGGGGTTTGGGATTTCTGGAGACGGGGGTTCATATACTTTGCTGAGAGTGAGTGGGGACCCCTGTGTGTTCGGGGAGGGGGGGAAGTGTCTAACATCTGTTCTGTCACTCTTAGTCTCGACCACGTCTCGTTGACCTTGTCCTCCAAGGATCTCATGGCGTCATTGACATACTCAATTCTCTTGTGCCGTGGGGGGGGGGGGTCCCGGGACAAAGGTAAGCCCTTTCCCCAGGAGCTCCCTCTCCTCGTCCGTAATTCGGACCGCGGAGACCACTGTTTGTTTTACTTATTCCTTCTTTCTTTTCTTCTCCCTCCGCATCGTGACCAGCTCCTGTCGCCATTTCTCGACCCGTTCCCTCTTTCTCTTCCCCCTTGGGGACGCTTTCTGGGGGTTCTGTCCCTCTTCCTTGTCCCCCCGTTTGATCGGGGGGCGTCCTGGATCTGCTGTTTCCCGAACTGCGCCTGGTCGGGGTTGAGGCTCGAGGGCGTCCAGTGCTGGGGGGGCCAGATCGCACTTTGGGGAGGGAGGGTTTATGGGTGTGTGATGTGTCTCTGTCTGTGGGTGTTTTGCTTCTGCTTTTTGTCTTCCTAAGAGTTGGGGAACCTCTCCGGGGGGATGGGGTCGTGTCCCTCCTACCTGATGGTTTGTCCGGGGAGATGCTAACTTTCTTTTTTCTCTTGTTTTGTAAGTTTTGTTGTGGCGATGAGTTCTGTTTCTCCTTGCCCCTATCCCTAGACCTCTGTCGCTGGCCTTGTCCCTGGGTTTTTCTGGAGGGACTTATTGGTTGGGGTAGCACCTGGTTGACCAGTGATTCGTGGGTGTCTAGGGTTAAATCCCAGCATGAAGGGGTCTGAGTCCCGTCACCACTTTTGGGCCCCCCAGGGGCGATTATTTCGTGAACGGCTTCTCTGAGTGCCGTACGTGTGTCTGTGGTGGGTATCTTACGAAAAACTGAATATGGCTCAGTGTGTCTATTTGTTTTCACCAGTAGCTTACCCGAAAATGGTTCCAGGGGCGCATTGCAAGTGGCTTTGGTCCTCTTGTTATAAGCAGCCCACAGGACTGGACCCACTCTCTCTGTTGTATACCCTCCCTCCAGGAGGCATGTGACCACCTCCTCTACCCTGGTGTGTTCCCTTGTGATGGAAGCTTTTAAAAGTAGGGTGTACAGGCCTGTTGACTCCCTAGCGTGTTTTTCATAGAAATATTCCATGTACGTTTCAAGGGCTGGGGGGAGGGGCATATCTACCGAGAAGAAAGGGAAGGTAGGGGCTTGGGTCAGAAGACCTGGGGTTTTGTCCCAGTTAGCCGCCTTTTGGATCTGATGCGATCTCTCTCTGAGGTGATCAATGGTTGAAAAGATTGGGCGTAGGATCTCCACCACTTTCAGTTCTTTCTATGTGAGTTCTGTGTCGACAAAAGGCCGTTCAGAGAGAAAGATGTCCCTAATATTCCTTGTGATGTTGGATTCTACTGTGAGGAGGTCCAAATCTGGCCTAGCGAAAGGGAGGGAATGTAATATTCTCTCCCCTGCTCCGTACCAGACCCTTGCTTCTGCCCAAAGGCTTGGTAAGCTGGCCAGAGCGGGGGCGGTTTCCGGCGTGCCTTGGAGGTCCTTTATGAGGTCCATCCATGCATCAGCTGGTTGTGCTGACAGGTCAACCAATCCATTGCGGGATATGGTAGTTCGGGCATTCTGCAGCTGGGTGTTCGTCTGTGACGTTTCTGGGGGGGTTTGTACCTGGGCTGGGGTAAGGGGCGGTGACGTGTCACTAGGTGTCCCTGATAGGGGGAAAAGTGAGAGGTCTAGTGAAGGAGTGGGTTGTGCCCACTGGTTTCCTGCTAGCTGCCCTAGTTAAGGGGCGTCTAGGGTTTGTGTAGGGTTTCATTGTTGGCAGGGGGGATTGTATGTTAAGCTTAAAGTCTTGGGTCTGGGGCTCCGGGACTGGCCAATCTGGGCAAGAGTTACTTAACTCATGAGTCCTAGGGTGACTGCTCATGACCCCCTTGACTTACCTTACTCTTTTTTGGCACTTACTGTTTCCTTGTGGTGTGGAAGGCAGGTTTCCGCTGGGTGAAACGTTTGTGACGTCGTAGGTCCTCTATATCCCGTGTGATGGGGGAGATATTCCTTTATAACACAGTATGGGAGATTGAAACACACAAGAACGTAAAGCGGGACGGCGGTGTTAATCTAGACCTAATCACAACTGCGTATAGGTAGTTTCTCCTGTCGTTCTGACCAAGTATTTAGTCTTGTCCACCACACAGAGTAAGGTTCCTTTTATCACTAAACTGAAACTTGTTTCCCGCGGTTTTTTCACTTTATAAATTACCGTATATTTCAACGGGCTCTATAAACTCGGATACAGCTGTTTCATGTGGCCCGTGGGAGACACACTCATCAGTCCGAAGGAGACTCCGCTGATGGTTGTGATTTTGCCTAGATGATTGATTGATGAAGATTAAGCCACCCAAGAGGTGACACGGGCATGAATAGCCCGTATGTGGTACAATTTTTTTTTTCTCTGTATTCTGAGTTTGCATTTAACCATCAAGCTGTTATCGCGGGGGAGGATACTGCTTCACAGTCT